GTTGGGTTGACGGTTGGACTCGATGATCTTAGAGGTCTTTTCCAACCTTAATGATTCTATGATATCAAAAGTAGCCTCACCTGTGTAATGATTTTAGGTGTGGATATCAGTATGGTGAAGACTTAGGACTGTAAAAGTTTGTCTATATTAAAATACTAGTTACCAGATCTCTGCCATTTTATTCCTAGCTTTTATTACTGAATAGCAACTGTGTGGAGAAAATATATACAGCATGACCTTAGTCATATGATTGTTAATATTCAGCTCATTAATTAATCTTTTCAGTGCGACATTGTTATAGTCGCATCCTTCTGCTGGCTGACTAAAAAAGTTACTTTGAAATGTGGGCGAAGATAGTTTGATTGTGTGTGTGTGGTACATGTTCCTACTGTTTGTGTTCTTCCAGAACTTTGTTATAAACTTTGTCTGGACCGAAAAGAAACTAGAAAGTAATCTTCGATTCAGCAAATAATGAACTAGTGTGGTGGTATATCTATGTTTTAGAGGACAACTTGCATACAGTGGCTGTGCAATCATATTTGCGTGTGCAAATAAACTGTTTTTGCCTAAATTATGTTTCTTATATACAAACCAGATTTACTTGCTCTGCTTTTTGAAAATTAGGTGAAAATTAGCTTTAAGCATATGAATGATGCTGTTGGCCTTCATGTGGTCTGTAAAAGTCTAAATTGCCAGACAAATTTATTAATAGCATTTCTTTTTCCATCTAACAGCTTTATGCTGGTAGGGGAATCTTTTTCTGGGAAGACCAAAGTTCTACATGTGTTGGCAGATACACTGTCTCTTATGAAAGACCGTGGTTATGGTGAAGAAGAAAAAGTAGTTTTTAGAACTGTGAATCCAAAATCAATCACTATGGGTCAGCTTTTTGGGCAGTTTGATACAGTATCCCATGAGGTAATGTATGTTTTAAAAATAGTATATAGTAATTGCCCACCTTTTATCTGTTTCTTCCTCTCACCTGCTGTGGCTTTCATGGGGTTTGTATGAGTGCACTTGTGTAAGTGTGTTCTAACTTCACAGTGTCATTCCACAGTTGTTTTCAGGGGCAGGAAAGGCAGTTTACAGGGCTCCTGCTTCTGGTTTTTAAGTCCCAATTCTAGACAGCATTTCTTCATCTGTTCCCTGGGCTCCAGACAATGTTTATAGGGCTGTGCTATAAATTAAATTACTGGTTTGGTTTTCAGAAAAAAGAAGCAAACATACCAGTATGGGTTCAAGACTAGGAGCTAATAATCCTGTCTGGTTTTTCTGCTTTATAGCAGAAAAAGCTATATATTTCTAGTGTTTGGGTTTTTTTTTTCCATTTCCTGTATGTCAGACCTCCATTATTCTGGATTGTAAACTGATGAATTCATAATTTTATCATTTTAAACACAGATGAGAACACAATTGTAAATTTAACTGTAGCTGATACTTTTATGGCTTGTTTTAAACTTTTGTATAAAAAAAATACAGTACCAAGCATGTATGTTTAAATATGGAAAAAAAAATTAATATCATTCTGAGGGTCATTGTCCTAATATAGTTGCATCCATGCTAGGAAATCATACCAAACTTAACTGTATTCATTTATCTGTTTATTCCTTACCAGTATAATCTACGTAATGCAAAAACTATCTGGAAAAACTTATGAACTCATGGGTCCCCAAGTGTGAAACTTAGGTTTGGAGAAGAGACAATATGAAGAAGTGAATGTGAAATAGTGAAACTTAGGGTAAATCTGGGGAGAAACAGATGCAAGACAGAGCAGAAGTACTTCTAAGTTTCTGTAAATTGAATTGCTGGTCTTCTGTTTGTTACAATATTCTTTAAAGTGAAAAAATCACTATTTTTAAATTTGTTGATGTTGCATGACCCTCAGTGAACCTGCAAAGTTATGATCTGCTCTCTGCAGAACAAGAGAAAAATAATTAAAAGAGAGGAATAATGAAAAGGAAATGGAAGGGTTTTCTGTTACTTGCAGTTTAAATTGAACTATGTATACTATGTCTTACTTATCATTCCTATGTTCTCCTCTAGTGGACAGATGGTATAATCGCTAATACTTTCAGAGAATTTGCATTATCTGAGACTCCTGAACGCAAATGGGTTATCTTTGATGGCCCAATTGATACTCTGTGGATAGAAAGCATGAACACGGTTCTGGATGACAACAAAAAGGTATCAGTCAGTGGAAATAAATGCCTAAATAAAATAATGTGACATTTTGAAAGTATTCTTCTACATATAAAACCCCAAATGCAAACAGCAGCCACAAATGCAAACAGCAGTGCCTGGCATTTGAAAAGAGCAAGTGCAAGGTGGCTTTGGTAACAAGTTGTAAGCTTTTTTTGGTTGGTTTTTGGGGTTTTGTTTTTTTTACTTTACTTTATTGGAATAATAATCACAGAACTCATTGCTGTAAGGCATTAAATGTATAGTATTTCCTTAATGTCATATTGTAAGTTTGTAACATAATTAAAATTTAAATTTAAAAAAATACATTTAATTATATTTAATGTAAATCCCACAGTTTCAAAATTTGCACAAACTTAGGCACTTACGTTTAAAGACAATCCCAAGACACAAAGGGTTGTATTTTCAAAATCAATGACTTCTCAAGTCAAAGTTGTAACCATACAGCACTCTTGAAAATGGGCCTTAGGAATCTCAAAGTGAATATAAAAATTAGAGATGACATTTTAAGTTTAAGTTCTGGATGATAGTGTGTCAAAATATTCAAACTGGACTTTTATTTTAATAAGTAGGAATGATGGGTCTCCAGCTGGAATGCTTCAGTGTTAGCAACAATAACAGCAGATACCCTTTCTCCTTTCTGCTTGCTGCCTTTTCTTTACCCTACCAGTAGGTTAATTACAGGTAACTATCCATCTTGAGTATGACAGGATAATGTGCAGTACTATGGTTTAAGTGAAGAATTTAGTTAAAGCCTGAAAAAAATAATTATTGCTCCAAGTGATTAAACATTTTATGTGGTTTACCTTACTTGTGGTTATACTTGGTTTTGCTGATTTTCATGTAGAACTCTCCTGTGATAGGAAGTGTAATTTACAACTAATTTTTTTTTTCTAATCTTGCTTGTGATTTTTTTTTTTTTTTTTTTTTAAATCGTTATTATTAAAGCTTTGTTTGATGAGTGGGGAAATCATCCAAATGTCCCTTCAGATGAATCTTATTTTTGAAACAATGGATCTTTCCCAGGCATCAGTAAGTTTCATATTTAATGAAAATATAAACCAAAGTTCAATATATTAAATGTATAATAAAATGAGTTTACAATTTTTCCGTAGCCTGCTACAGTCAGTCGTTGTGGCATGATTTATTTGGAACCTTCTCAACTGGGCTGGAGGCCACTTGTTACCTCTTGGTTGAGTAAACTGCCTGAACCTCTTAACTTGAAGGGACATCAAGATCTTCTACAGGGACTTTTTGATTGGTTAATACCACCAGTATTAAGACTCCGGCAGAAACAGTGCAAGGTATTCTTTGCCATTTTGCCTGCAGTAGCTAGGTGGCCATTTCCATTCTGTTATCCTTGGTAGGGAGGGACTATTCTTTCATGACAAGCATAATTAGAATGAATATGCATCAGCCTCCTGTTGTTTCGAGAAGGGCAACTCTTGGGTCCAGTTTGGAAAGTTAAAATGAGAACGTTAGGTAAGACTTTTATTGTAAGTTGATCATAGTTTTCACCTTGTTTTTTTCAAAAGTAAAGTAAGTATTTAAAGCACTGGGTGGAACGTCTTCCCGAGAGAATTTTGTACTTTTTTTTTTTTTTTTCTTTAAAGATGTCATGTTGAATAGGGAAGTACTTTTTTAAGAGTTAGGAGAAACGTACATGTAGTTCCTTGCAAACACTGTGTGATACAGTGCTTAGGCTTTTGCTCATGTATTGCCGTAGTTACTTCCGTGGAGGTTTTTGTTTTAAGATGTGTGATTGTAGTGGTCACATGGTAGCCGTGAACATGGTTAACAAGCTGAATGTCTTGACGTTTCAAGGATAGAGGAGGGCAAATGATCTTTTGAATAAAAGTCAGTGTAAACCTTAACTTCAAATATTTGTTCAGAATTAGCTAATTATCTAATTGTTTTAGTATTTTAACTCCAAAAGATAAACTAACTGAACATGTAAAGTATAATACCCATCCTTTTGTATCTCTTAGGAACTGGTACCTACAAGCAATACCAACGTTGTAGTAGCTCTTACACGGCTTTTTGAAATGTTGATTTGTCAAACTGTGCGAGAAGATCCCACCAACAGAAACATCCGTGCATGGATTATGGTTGGTTTTTTTAACCTGTAGAAAAATTTATATCTGTTTCCGCATATGCCGGTCTTCAAAAATAATTGGACTAATCAAAACAACTTTAATTTGGTATAAGAGATGTGAAACAATTTTGCTACCTCCTTGCTCCCTCCCCCCAAACTTTGGAGATGCCCAGATGAGACACAAGTCTCACAAGTAACAAATATGATTAAATATTTTACTATTTTTTCCAATTAACTGGGATAAATAGTGTTTCTGTTAAATGTACTTTTTGATTAACCAAGGAATTAGCTAAAGCAAAGTGTTTTGTTTCCCTTGAATGAAATATGTGTTCATGTAATACTGATTGGCTTGTTTGAGCAAAATTTCCTTGGGAAGAGTGTTTTCTGAGAGTTTTATTAGTTGGATGCTCTGTCTGACCTTATATGACTGTTCTTACGAAAAACTGAAGAAAACAGAATGTAAAAGTATTTATTTAAAATCGAATTAGCAAATTCCTAGATCCTGGTTTGCGATAAGAAAATCCTGAGACCACGATTGAACTCTTCTCAGGCTTTGTCATGTGACGTAATGCTTTAGTCAGTGGTAACACCTATCTGCTTAACAGTATTTTTCAGAATTATGTTTGTTAATCAGACAAGGTTCATATGTCAACTTTTTAGACAGTTGTTCATCTTTTTGCCCCTGCAGGGTTGCTTTGCTTTTGCCACAGTCTGGTCCATTGGTGGAACTTGTGATGGTGACAGCAGGATAATTTTTGATAATTTCTTGAGGGAAACTTTGGCTGGGAAATCTGCAATAAATCCTGTACCAATGAGTGTGGGAAAATGGGAGTGTCCCTTTGAAGAGAAAGGCTTGGTCTATGACTACATGTATGAGGTATGATTGATTGCTTCTGCATTGACTGAAGTAGATTCCTACAGTCTGGAAGGAAAATACAGCTAGATGGATATTTTAACTTTACGAAGCTTGTTGGATGTAGTAGACTGTTGATGTTGGATTAAATCCCAGAGTGCATTTTTCATTTATTTTGCTTTTTTGAATACTAATGTGCTGGCAAAATTTTTTTAGAAAATACCAAGATGTACACGTCAGTTATTTATAATGTTGCCACATCATAGTTATTCTGTAGCTAAATCTAAGCTGATGGACTCAAATCTGGTTTTGTGTGGAAGGAAAGATGTGGAATGTCTAGAAGGAAAGCACGATATTGAGCCCGTAGGCAGTTTGCTTATATTACAATTTTGTTTACAGTATCCATTAGAAATGTTAGATTATAATTACACTTTTTAATTTTTGCATATGTTCTTCTGTTGGGTTTTTGTATGTTTTTGTTTTGGCTGAACAAAATCTTTAAGAAAACAAAGGAGTCTAAGCTTAGGTATGTACTTTAACACTTCATTAGTGAGATAAAGCAAACTAAATATATGAACTTCTGAAACATTTAATATTCATTAATTTATTAAAATTCATTATTTTCATTTTTCAGAAGTGAAGTAGTAGAGAAAACCTTCCATATGTATAGAAGTAACACCATTCTGTTTTACATCTCTACTTCTTTCTAGCTGAAAGGCAGAGGACGTTGGGTTCATTGGAACGGATTTATTAAAAATATTAATTACAGTGATAAACATGTGAAGATTCAAGATATTATAGTCCCAACTATGGATACAGTCCGATATACCTATTTGACAGAGCTGTTCATTACCCATGGAAAGTAAGTTACGTCACTTCAGTGCAAATTTCTGAAATATTGGTCATAGGTAGAAATATCTCCTCTTACTCTTTCTATTGACTTCATTGTTTTTATCAAGCCCTCAACGTTTATTTGGCCTGTTAAAAATAGACATTTACTACTACTATACAATTTGTTGCCTTAAAGTTGCTTATTCTTGAGGCTGTTATGATAGCCCAAATAGTTTTTGTACCTTCTTTTTTCTTTGGTAATGAAATATTGAGGTAGAAATATCTCCTCTTACTCTTTCTATTGACTTCATTGTTTTTATCAAGCCCTCAACTCAAATTTGGCCTGTTAAAAATAGACATTTACTACTACTATACAATTTGTTGCCTTAAAGTCAGTTTTTGGGCTTTTTATGAAGCCTTATTATAATCCAGTTTTAGTATGCTTATTCTGATGAGGCTGTTATGATAGCCCAAATAGTTTTTGTACCTTCTTTTTTCTTTGGTAATGAAATTTTTTTTTTTTTTTCCTTTGATTAGTCATATCAAAATCCGTTATATTAGCTATGGTCAGATCATACAAGAGAATGAAATATAAAGCAGCCTCAGGTTAAATTTCAAGGCTGAAAGCTTTATGAAGTTTAAACTACTGCAGGACCTATCAGGAGAAATTTGACTCCCATGTATGTTCATGCATACTCTAAAGCCAGTATAATGAGGGAATGAGAAATGTCTTTTTCTCTTTGTCCCCTTTGTCTTGTTGGTGGGAGCAAACTAAAATTATGAGGGTTATATGAATATGTTAAAACATTTTAGTTTCTTTTTAAGGCATGATGGTTTTAGAGGTAGAACAAGCAGGGCAAGTTAGTAAAACCTTTGACTTCTAATTGCAATTAGTTTATAGTTTGTTAGATTTCTGCTGTCTGTATGTTTTATTTCTTTCTTTGTGAAGACCGCTGCTTTTAGTGGGACCAACAGGTACTGGGAAATCTGTGTATGTCAAGGACAAGTTAATGAACAACTTGGAAAAGGAGCGCTACTTTCCCTTCTTCATTAATTTTTCAGCTCGAACCAGTGCCAATCAGACCCAGGTTAGTAGAACAGATAATTTACATTTCAAAAAGGTAAAATAGATTAAATATTCATATATGTTTTGAATATTTCTGTCTGCATTATAGAACATTATTATGGCCAGGCTGGACAAGAGGCGCAAAGGAGTCTTTGGCCCTCCAATGGGAAAAAAGTGCATTATTTTTGTAGATGATATGAATATGCCTGCTTTGGAGAAGTATGGTGCACAGCCTCCTATAGAACTTTTAAGACAGCTCTTTGACCATGGATTTTGGTAATTATTTGAAATACAATTGAAACTTTTTTGTTGCTACATTTCCTGTTATAATTATTTATTCACTTGAATTTTACTTTTAAAACTTCTTTTAAAGTGCTTTGATAGCTTTGGCTTATATAAAAATACATTATTTAAAGTTGAAGCAACTTCTGTGTTGCTCTTTAAGTGACTTTTCAATTTAGGAAATTGATCAGTCGGATTCATTTTCGGGTTTTTTTGAAGGTTTTATTGCTGAACTTCAGCAGTATTTGTATATATAAACAAAATCATTCTTTTACACCTGGGGGTTTTTTATGTCTGTGTTTTTCATTATTTGTATTTTTCCAGTGCAGTTCCTTGTTTCTTTCCTTTCTCTTCCTCCTCAGAGTGAGTTGGCAGATTTTTTTATATATATATGTGCAATTATATAAAACTTTTGATTTTACTTATTGTGTTGTTTTTTCACTGTCATCCAAGATAACAATTTTTATTTTTTTTAACAACATTTCAAAATAATTCTTAAAAATAACAATGAAATCAGATTTGGTAATAGGCATGAAAAAAATAAGCTAAAGGTCTTCCCTGCTTTTGAGGTTTTTAGGTCTGCTTAGATTGGAAGATTGGAACAAGTGGTCTCTTGAGGTCCCTTTCAGCCTGAATTATTCTGTGATTCCACGCACTTCTCAAATGCTGTTACTTTTGTGATTCCAGGCTCAAATATCTGTTGCTCTTGAATAGAGATAATATATCTTGCCACATTACAGTTCTAAATACCCATCTCAAAATTTCGCATCGGGTTTTATGGAACCCAGTTTAAACAAATAATCTTTCTTTCGGGCCAGCATGATGTGTTGAGATTAACTGGGGCATAGTTATAAGACTAGTTGTTCTTGGTTTTTTGGGTTTTGTTCTTGTTTTTTAATATAAAATATATATTAAAAATATAGTATGTAATAAATGATATTATATTTTTAAATACGTTATGCATGCAGAGAGTACTGTCTAATACAGAGGCATCTAAGCTGTAACAAATGTGTTATAACTGTAACTATCTAAATGTCACATTGCAATTTATTTTGAAGGTATGATTTAAAGGACACATCTAAAATTACACTTGTTGATGTACAGTTGCTTGCTGCTATGGGGCCTCCAGGAGGTGGGAGGAATCCTGTTACTCCTCGATTTTTGCGACACTTCAACATTTGCACTATTAATTCTTTTAGTGATGAAACAATGGTTCGCATCTTCTCTACCGTAGTAGCTTTCTACCTACGGACTAGTGAATTTTCTTCTGAGTTCTTCACAATTGGAAATCAAATTGTCACTGCCACTTTAGAGGTAAGAGGCAAATACCTTAATGGAAGTTTACTGTAATTTGTTCAGTATAATAATTTAATTGGTGAAGTAGAGATTTTAGATATTTTGTTCCTTATTATTTTTAACATACAGCCTCATCTGTTTTGACAAAATTGTCTTAGTTTTATTGTTGCAGTAACCTTCTTATTCTAGGAAAATTGTCTTTGAATTTGTGTTAGTGTGGGCTCCGTGGTACCTGTCCACATAACATCAAGTAGATGAGACTGGAATATCTTTGGAGTCAGAGAGGCACGGGAAGCTGTCACACGCAAAGACAAAATGAAAATATCAGTTGCAACCCTTCCAAAATTCCTTCTCAGAGAGACTAAGAACGAAGAAAGTACCCTCCCCACTTTTCTCCTTCCTCTCCAGTTTTTATGCTAGTTATGGGCACATCACAGCAGACTAAGGAAGCCAATGTGAACATGCAGCTTTGTAGAATCTGACTCCAGCATGACAAAACACATCACAGAAATGTTGTAAAACTGAAAGCCATTAGGCCCAGCTGTACGGAATTTCTAAATGTTTTGTGAAGTTCCATGTTACAGATTTTAGTGAGTATGACATTTGTGATGTACCATACACATAAAAAAAGGAGTGGCAATTTGTGACATTTTTGCGAAGAAGCATTAAGTTACAGATACAATATCAAAGTATAGCTTTGCTGGCTTATTACGTAGCAGAAATAATTAGCAGTGTGAACAAATCTATTGCCTACCATAAGTATTCATCATGGAAATGCATTAGGTAGCTAATACTTGACCAATGAAAAATTCTGACAAACTGATCAGCTTCAAAGGCAAAATCAAATGGCTGAGTTTCACAGGGGATGTGACTTCCTTCTACTGCAGAACTGAGGCCTTTCTCAGAGTTTTCCACTAGCTCTGCTTATACCCAAGGACATATTGAAGACTGAATCTGGCGAATATTGACATACTCAAGTCGAATCTGGCGAGTCAACAAATGGTCTTCAAAGGCAAAATCAAATGGCTGAGTTTCACAGGGGATGTGACTTCCTTCTACTGCAGAACTGAGGCCTTTCTCAGAGTTTTCCACTAGCTCTGCTTATACCCAAGGACATATTGAAGACTGAATCTGGCGAATATTGACATACTCAAGTCGAATCTGGCGAGTCAACAAATGGTTACAGGACTGGTGCCACAGCCAGGGGTTCGGCTACTTAGGCCATGGGACTCGCTTTGAGAAACCTGGTCTACTGGGGGCTGACGGGGTCCATCTGTCAGAGGAGGGGAAGAGCATCTTCAGTCATAGGCTTGAAGCTGGCGAAGAGGGCTTTAAACTAGAGATGCCAGGGGAGGGGAACCTCAATCCATCCCCCTCCTACCAG